TGCTCCCTGAACCCAGAAACCATTTGCAGTCTGGGCCCCCAGAACTTCTGACCAATTGGCTTCAATTTGGGATTCCCACGACCCCTTCTTTGGGCTTGATTAATTTGCTAGAGGGGCTCACAGAACTCAGGGAAATATTTATGTTTATTGGCTTATCATAAAGGATGTTACAAAGGATATAGATGAAGAAATGCATAAGGTCAGGTATAATGTAAGGCGCACAGAGCTTCCATGCCCTCCCTGGGGCTCCACCCTCCAGGAACCTTCAGGTGTTCAACTATCTGGAAGCTTGCCAAGCATAGTCCTCTTGAGTTTTTTTTTTTGGGGGGGGTTGGAGTCTCACTCTGTCGCCCAGATTGGAGTGCAGTAGCTGCTCCTGGCCACGGCAGCCTCGACTTGCTGGGCTCTGGCGATCCTTCCGCCTCAGCCTTCCGAGTAGCTGGAACTACAGGTGTGTGCTACCATGCTCGGCTAATTTTTTTTTTTAATTTTATTGTGGAGATGAGGTCTCGCCTGCCCAGGCGGGTCTCGAACCCGCGGGCTCAGGCAATCCACTCACCTCAGCCTCCCAAAGGCGCGGGATTACAGGCTGAGCCACCGAGCTCGGCTCCTCTTGGGTTTTTAATGGAAGCCTCCTGACCTCAGCATTCCTCCTCTCAGGGTATAGGGTGGGACCTCTCTGAAATACCTGTGATGTCTTGGGTGATGTCAGAGAAATGCTCTGGGGGCATTTCTGGGTTTACAAAATCTCTGCTTCCTCTCTCTTAGCCTCAGGTTTATCATCTATAAACAGGGGGTACTAAAAGCAACCCTCCCCAGTGGCGCTGTAAGGAGTAAATGAGATGGTATATGTAAACCACTTAGCACAATGCTTGCCCAGCACACAGTGGGCTCTCAATTATTGAGAGCTATTGTGTTGGTAGCACCGTGATTCAGTTAATGGTGAATGACTGTCTCTGGTGGGATGTTATGGGGCTCTGTGTTGACCAACAAGATGGATAATACAGTTGAAGTTGCAAGGGACAGGCTGCATCTAAGTTTAAAGTGAGAGAAGACAGTGATTCATAGAACTAACATCCAAAACAATTTCGACAAGCTGGAATAAGCAAGATGACATCGTTTTGTTGTGAGTTTCAAGACATTAAACAAAGCAGAGGATGGGCGAGAGACCTGACTTGACCCTAGCTCCAGTGGAAAGGATCTGAATGATTTAGTTGACCACAACCTGATGGGAACTAATCATGGGAGAGAAAGGCTCTGAAGCCCAGCAGTCTTAGGCTGCATTAACAATGTGTCGTGTCCAGACTGGGGGAAATAATAGGCCTATTGTACTGGCTTGGTCAGGCCATATCTGGAATCTTGCGTTGCTACACTGACAGACTGGAATCAGGCCAGGAGGGGGACCAGCCCAGCCTCAGCTCCCAGGCATTTGTGCTAAACGCGTCCTGTGCATTTTCTTATTTCATCTCTGAAACAACCGTGCTAGGTAGCGACCATTAATATTCCCATTTTTATGCATAGGGAGGTTAACTGAGTTGCCCAGGGTCAACCACACAGAGTTGCCCAGGGTCAACCACACGGTGAACATTCATTCACCAAACACATATTTATTTATTTCTTGAGTTGGAGTCTCATTCTGTGCCCAGGCTGGAGTGAGGTGGCATGCTCACAGCCATTGGAGCCTCAACCTGCTGAGCTCAGCCTTCCAAGTAGCTGGAACTACAGGCACGTGCCACCACGCCCGGCTAATTTTTTGAAAATTTTATTTTATTGTGGAGATGAGGTCTCACCAAGTTGCCCAGGCTGGTCTCGAACCCATGGACACAGGCAATCCTCTCACCTCGGCCTCCCAAAGTGCTCCACCGTGAGCCACCGCGCCCAGCCTGAACAATATATTTATTAAGCCCCTATTATGAGTCAAGCCCCATGTTAGTTAGTGGGGATGAGAAAGTGAAAAAGATGTAGTTCCTACATTCGAGGAGCTCATGGTCAGGCAGGAGATCCAGATGACTTATGATACAGTGTAATTTCAAAGGAGAGAAGATTTTAGGACTGGAAGGAATCATAAAGTCCACCTTAGCCAATTCATGCCCAGAGAGGGGAAGAGAGATAGAACAGTGTCCCACAGCTCATGTATGAGCCACAGGGCCAGGCCCGTGCCCTTTCCATCGTATTCAACTGCCTCACTTTGGCTCTCTTCTGCTCAGCATGGGCCAAAAGCTGTGTTGCCAGATAGGATCTGCTAGGGTATATGAGGGAACCAGACCTTATCTCTCCTCCCTGCAATCAGAGATGTGAAGAAAGAAAAAAGCAGCCTGATCTTGAGAACCACAGGAACAAGAGTGAGTGGTCTTTGAGAGGCCCAGCAGCCCCTTCACTAAGCAGAGAGAACTGGGAAGACTAGAGAGATGTTGGCATGAGCGATTCAGAGGTGGAATAAAAACTTTTGTTCTGGCATCGGTGCCTGGACTCTCTGTTCCAGACTAATGTCCTTCTGTCTTCTTTCAAGGCCCAGATTACTCTGTATTCCCTTTTTCAAGACTTTCCTTGATTATATCAACCCAGAGTGCCTCTGCAGCCTTGTATCTCCTGGGACTTCTTGTTGGGGAGACACATGAACCCCCCCCTTTTGTAATTTATGCTAAGAGGGACAGAGCAGGGCTGTAAAGACCTAGGGGTTTGGAATCAGACAAGACCTTCCAGGCCGGGCTCTGCCACATAACAGCTGTTTCACTTCTCAAGTCTCCCTTTCCTTGGCTGTAAAATGGGGATAATAATAGTGCCACCCTCATTTGGTGGTTGTGAGGGCTGGAAGAGCATGTTAAGCACGGAAGAAGCTATCCATAAAAGGCCACCGTTGTTATCATAGTGTCCAAGTGGCTGTAGCCCCGGCTCCTCTCCCCAACTTGGGAGCTTCCTGCCGGCCGGCCGAGGCAGCCGCTGGGTTGCCTCATCGTTCCCCCCCATCGCACAGATGCCAATGACAGGAAGCGGGAATGGCTGGTCTCCGGGAGGAGAGAGAGGTATCGGTAGGGAAAGTGCGACCCTACATCCTCCCGTCTTGGAAGAGAGGGAGACAGGACCTGACTGCAGATTTTAAAGGGAACAGACAGTAGGCTTCCAAGCCCCACCCTTCCTAGACCTGAAGTCAGAAGTCACGGGTTTGTAAGCCCGACTCGGGGGTAACTCGCTCCGGGGGACCTTGGGCAGGTCCTTTCCCAGCCCTGAGGCTCCGCTGCCTCGTGCGCTGCCAGGGGGTCTCGTGGCCTCCGCCT